GGAAAAGCTTCTTAAATACTATCAATACCCTGAGCTCAAAAAGGTTTCACAGCAACTTCTCTGCATACTAAGCATACCACTGAAGCTGACCAAATATCAGCATCATCAGTCTTTTATGCCAAAGCTTTTTTTTTTTTTTTTTTTTTTAAAAAAAAAGGAATGAATGGCATTTGGGAAAAAAATAAACAAGCAGACATCAATTTGCACTTGCTCAGCCTCTCACAGCTGTTCAGTTTAAGGTAGGCAAAAGCCATAAAAAATCTTTAGAAAAAGTGCTGGTGCAGTCCAGTCACATCAGATGGGCCACTCCAGAGCTGTAAAACCACACCAGGGTGGCAGGCTACTTTCAGCACTATTTACAAGGAAAACATAATAAAGAAGACACAGTCCCCATTCCCTGTTGCAGCCATCTTCGTTAGCCTTTCCTCCCACTGCCTCACTTTGCTGGGCTCTCTGCATGCGGACTAACTCAAATTTATGCTGCAGTAGACACTTCTAGGCATAGGTGGAGCACATCAAACTCCGAGATGATGAGTAAACAGCATTTCTTTGTAAATAACACAGGGAAAAAGAAAAAGAAAATATGTGTGTGCTTAGACAGGCTCATTATCTCCCACACAGCTCAACAGCAGCTTCATTCCTTTTGCAGCTTCTCACCAAATTTGCTCTGATGTCCTCTATGCCCCCTCCTCCCACGCCCATTTTTCAAGAGATGGCTGAAAACGTACCTGTAAGGTGCTGGTTAAGAAGTTATCCTGGGAAATAATGTCCACAAAAAAATCAGCTGGGATTTCGCTGAGCTGGTGATACAGCACAGAAATGAGATTGATGTAGAGGTCTTGATACTTCCCTATGGCATCTTCGGATCGGCACAGGAGGTTTAAAAGTCTTTTCCAGTGCTCAAACGCATCGTATACATTTCCAATCAGGAAGCAGATGAAAGCAAACTGCAACTCAGCTGCACATATCCGACAACGGAAAGCAAAACAAAACACATGTAAGACATGTAAACACATCCAAGGTACGTGTCCGTTCAAAAGCTCTGTAAATGATTGCATAAAACTCTGGGTTTGCCTTTTCTGCATGCATTCTGCCCTTCCAGCGGTTCTGCTAATAGCAATCAATATTCCAAACACTGACTATTTCCTAATGCTCTGCTCTTCAACTAGAGAAAAAAACACAGCATAATCGGGCAGGTCAACCTGCAACTGCAGTTATCATCTTTGAAGAGTGACTTTACTGGCAATCAGAGTACACAGCCACCTAAGGACTTCCAGTGTCATCTGTGTTCTCAAAATGAGACTCAAAGAAGAAGTCAGACATTGCTGTTATTCTGCAAGCATTCCCTCCGCCTGTGCCTGGGTTTCCAGGGCCACACAGGAGTGCAAATGCTTCTGCCCTTGAACGCAAGTGCTGTGGGAACACCGGGAGAGGTGAGCAGTACATTAACAGATGTTTTTTCATCACAGAATGAACAGCCAGCGTCCATCTCACTGGATGCTTACCATCATCTGTGTTGCCAGAACGACAGCGTCACCATTTCCTAAGGTATATCACAGAGGTAATCACAAGGTATACCATTTTCTCTAGGTATAGCCTAGGGCTGTCTTTGATAATTTTGATAAAGAATAAACTGTATAGTGTTAATACAGGAAAAAATGGAAGAAAGGAAAAACAAAGGCTTATTCCAAACCTCAGTAGCCTTGAGGCTCCAGCTCAGCTGGGCTCCCAAGCCCTCCCTCCATCCTGCCACGAAACACCACCACACTTCAGGACCTCCACAGATCTGACATTTACTCAGTATCAGAAGTTGCCAAAAAAGGCTGGCGAGCAATTAAGACCCTGTGGCTGTCTCCTGCAGCAGGGCTGGCAAACCCCAGCCGCTGGCACAGAGAGTCGCCAGCAGCACACAGCAGAGAGCCACCGCTCCGGCCAGGGAGGGGCCCTGCTGCTGCGACACCTGGGACCCCCCCCACCACCAAACGGCAACGGGAGTCTGAAAATTACGGTGCTCAGCCCCACTCAGTGCTCCCAGGACTCCGTAAGCTCCATCCTCAGAGGTTCACCTAACAGGCAAAGCACAGGGCTCGAGGTGCAGCTCACAGCCACCTGCAATTGCTGCTTTTGACTTGATCGGGGGCAACCTGGGCTTCAAGCACAGCACCCCGGGGGGAGAGGGCCAAACGTGGCAGGCTGGCGGCTCCCGACACCCAGACACCAGCGCAGCGGGAACGGGCCCTACAGCTGCTCAAAGCTCCACAAGCTTCTGTCTTGCCATTAACAGAGAGGCCTCAGGGTGCCAGGGAGCAGGGCCCAGGG